AGGAAAAGATTAAAATAGCCGATTTGATTCCAGTCTTCTGTTATCTACCGTCTAATACAGGTGGTTAGATATCTTGAAACAGCCTTTGAATACGTGATAAAAAGTTATTCTTTGAGTTGATAATAATTCGAATGTGCATAGTTTACTATGAACGTTAGGTGTTGTTACCATGGCTTGCGGTCATTTTATTTTTGCTTGTAGTGTAGTAAAACCGATAAAATTTAGGTAAGTTATAGCGAAACTAGCAGAAGCAACAACAGTCGCAACAGCCTTACTAACATTAGCAACCGATTCGTCCACCTTCTCGCCCTTTCTTCTGTGCTTGCATCAAATGGGTGCAAAACCTTTTTCTCGTTTGGTGGATTTCGTGGTTTGAAAGGGCAAATGAAACGTGTCCTGAAAAGCTTGGACCACTGGACAGCTCTTTCGATCTAGTTGGGTCTCGTCAGCAGTCTAAACCCACTGGTCTAATTGGGGATGGAAACCAAGATAGAACGCCAGCATACTACCCAATTGGTTACCAGGCAGATGATGAGAACTTTTGTTATCATTTTCCTTATACACGAGTGCAACCCATCTTTGCGAATCTAATGTAAAAGCGGCACCTATGCGCATCTCAGCACTAGTCTCCAGGGTTATGACTCGGTTGGAAACATTATAACCCGATTACGTGATACCTTGCTTTACTGACCAATGTGCTTGTTGTTGGACAGTGACACAACCATATCCATTCGATAGCAAAGTGGGAATGCAAAGTTAAATCAGATAATGACAATAATAATACACAATAACATTACCAGTAACGCTGAGAGCAAGTGAGTGACACGAACAAACACGAAAGGAAGTAATATGGGACGGACTGTTATTTTCACATACTATATACAGGATGAACTATGAGGAAGTTATATCATTTCACTTAATTTCCAGAAAAGAATTTGACCTAGGTGTCGCTTCCAGTACCTCCAGATTCTAATGAAGAGAGGCTTCATATCTGTGATTCACTTGTATAATGCAGACAAAATTATATATATATATATGTTTATATACATATATATATATGATGTCACCTGCCCTATTGATTAGAAACATTGCAACAAATATGATCCCTATCGGACAAGACCATCGGTTCCATAACGTACATGACTGTGTTTAGCCTCCAAAGTGTTGTTCATCAAATCATATAGATGATTAAACGAACATATCTGCAATAAAACCACCCTAAGCATCTATTTATGATCAACAAGCATCTTTTTGTCGAGTTCTATGATGGCTACAGTTCACTGACGAGCGCGTTTTGTAACGGCTGCGGTAAAATTGATGAATCCGTCAGTTTTGTTGTTGTTGTTTTTCTGCAGCCACGAGTAATCGGCTTTATCCCCCGTTTAACATTGAGTTCAAAAGCTAGGCATCTAAAATGCAGTTCATTTTTTGTTTGTATTCTGGTCTTCCTTGAAATATCGTTTTCAATTAGATCCATTTATCCCATGAGTACTTACAAGCTCTGAATTCAATTCACGCCTCCTTACTCGTCGTATGACTAATTAACTTTGCTATTCTAAATGCTCATGTTGAAATCCAGCCAGCTTTATAGGGGCGCATATTTTTTTTCTCAAAACGGATAAACCTGAGCAGTATATGTTTCGTTGCGGAAAGATGAGTCAACTTGCCTCTTCTTCGTACAGAGGACAAATGGTTATACCGCTACCGCCGTCACTATCACTATAGTACCAACGCTGTTACTAACACAACCTTACTTATTCTGCTCTATTTTATTCGGATTAATTCGACAAGCCATCAAGGGCCGGATTTTTCTATAAAGAATGTGAATGCTTTTTACGTGATGAATGAAGTTTGTCTTAAGTACATATGTAGTGACCCAGTAACTGACTGCATCAGAACAATTAACTCAAATATTCATAATTATGTTTTCTAACCGACTTTTAACGTTTGAGGCGGAATAAATCCCTCTCTCTCATCCTTGAACTGTGCGGACAGACTGGTGACCAACAGTCATATCAAACAATTCCAGAAAAGTTTACAATGAATCAGGAAACTGAGCAACCGCTTCTTTACGGTTGATTCATCCAGTCACAAACATTACGAGTTATGCAATGCGAAACTTATTTGTGGCACAGCGAGCGGATTCGAGACGAAGAGGTCTCAAATAATCATTGCTATAATTTTGTATCAAGTGTTGTCGGTTACATGCGTCCAACCTCGGCCAGCTCAACTCCAGGGCCGATTTTCAGTGTTAATATAATGAGTAATATATTGATGACTGAATAAAAATTTCCAGAAGCACATGACCGGTTTCGCGGTACTTGCCACTCATCAGCTATGCGTATGCAGTAATCTTCTGTTTGATCATTCTTATACTTTAACTACCAATATGAATTATGCAATGCAAACCTCATTTGCAGCTCAATATAAGTAGAATTATGACCAGGCAGAAGATTACCAGATACGCATGCCTGACAAGCCGCAAGTACCCGGAAACTGGTCGAGTGTTTATGGGAAATTTCGTCCAATCAGTAATATGCTACTCAATATTACTTAACATTACAATTTTCCAACTCTAACAAAAGCGAAAGATTCTATAGATTTAAGCACAAATAACGCCTCGTTATCGACAGAAACCACGGAAATTTTTGTCCAAATGAAATCAGCGATCTCAGATTTAATAGCAAAATGTACCATTGTTTGATTTTCGTTTGTCTCTTGTCCATTTGTTTTCGATCGGCTGCTATGTTCACTCCTACTTCTACTGCATTTCAGTTTTCCCTCAGCACACCAACTGATTATACCTCAGATAGAAAATTTTCCCATGTGTAGAAACCAGACAAGTACGGATTTACGAAAAATATTTCACGAGGACATCTGCTCGTTGTTTAAGGTCAGTTGAACAAATCTGCCTCGGGTTCTATCTTCTGTTCCCTACGTATATGCCTTTTTTCCAACAACCATCAACTGTTTCGTTCTAATGCGCGAGCATTTATTGCTAGCATGTGGAGCACCAACTGTTTCATTAACATACATATATCTGCCAATTGTATTTCACAGTTGAACTCAAATATCAAGCATAATTGTTTCATCTTCCGCTGCCGTTCTTTATCGTGCAACCACTCAGGACAATATAATAATGTGATTACATTAACTCAGTGACATTATTAGTTATGTGATAATGATGAAATATCCATTAACTTGCACATATCGTGAGTGAACATTTAGATAACTGTAAATTGTACTACTGTGTCCGTTGTTTTATTCAAATGAAGTAAAACTGCAAGGTAAAAATGAATCGTAAATTTTGTTATACATCTCCATTAGTGGGATATCAATTATAACCAGATTGTGTTTTACCGGATGAAAACTAGTTACATCTAAGCACGTGTTGAGGGAGCATTAAATGGGAATTACTTTGATCACTTGATGAAAAACAGAAACCACCTGTTCCGCATGATTCGGTGGTGTGAAGAATAATTTCTTGTCCCCCTTTTAACCTGTTTGATTCTAATCCTGATAGTAATAGTAATAGTAATCTAAACTTATTTGTTATGCGACAGATTCCAACAAATTCTACCGACCCTCTAATTTGGGAGGAAATCAAATTTACTGAGCACACACTGATGCTCAGTTCCAATTCGCTCCTGATATCCGAAGAACCAATTCAACGACTAGGAACCGTGGTCCCGGTCCGATTTAAACAAAGCATGCCATTGACGCAGGTTTGGTGTCACGTGATGAGTGTTCAACCAACCTCAGGCAGCACGTCCGGGTCCGCGGATTGGATCAAATCCTCAGCCAATATATTGACAATCCCAAAAGCCACAGTCACACGGTTCGGCAAATTGGCCGGAACCACGTTTGATGGATTGGCCAGTAAAATGAACGCGAACACAGGTGATGCACAGTCAGACGGTCGAACACCTCGACCAGATGACAGCCAGATAGTGCGACTTGTGTGGATCGGGTGTCCACCAGTTCACAACTGGTTGTTACAATTTCATAAAGACTCCATTGGGGACCGTTGGGTTACATCATTGCAAGAGTAAGTTATCGGATGGAAATAACCATTTATTTTATTACGGTTTGTTGCGGTCTTGAATATAACTTGCTGAATACGATCGTCATTTACGCTAGTAGAGCCACACATCCCATCTGAGGAAGTGAACAAAGTCGGAGTAGACATCGTGGTAATCAAATGGGGTGTCTGGTCTTCTAGCACGTCAGTTATAACCTCTGCAGCAAGAGACCAAGCATGTTCTATAGAACAGGCATGTGTTTTTCTGAGTACATAATTGGGGACTCTAAAGAAAGCGAGGGAGAGACGCCTTGGAAATCTGTTACTGTCAGCACAAAGACAAAGATGTGGCTCCCTTATCCAAGAAGATTGAGAACATAATGTAGCTGGTTGGGGATAACTCATACAGGGTCGAACGAAAAGAACTTATTTGACAAACACTACGTAAAAAATAAAAAAACAAATAACGAATAAGGTCGTTTTTGATGACTTCTTCATTGGCTAATACAGTTATATAAATAGGTAATAGGCATTCCACATTTGCACAATGTTTGACGTGTGTGCGCGAAATGAAATGGTGGATATAATTAGTCGATTTTGTGTGGTTTACAAAAAAATTGCGATTGAGAGTGGATGGGAATAGGGATGTGTCACCAGTACCTGGTGGATGCCACATGCCTTTGTAAGTTAGATGGGTAAATTCGAATGTGAAAAGATAAGTGCTACCAGTGTGGCCTCGTAGCTCAGCTGGTACAGCATACGCGTACCAAGCGTAGGCGGCGTCCATGCGTGGGTTCGAATCCCACCGAGGCTACTGAACTTTTCACAATCGACTTACAAACTTCAAATCTACCAAACAACTATTTGAACAGTTAGAACAGTGTCAAGGTTAACCATCACCTGTTTGGGGCACGGGGTCGATCGAAAGAGTCAAGGGGTGAGTTCCCATCATGCGACTGAATTCACTACGTGGTCATGGTAGCTGAAGTGATTTAAAAAAATGGTTTTTGGGAATAAAGTGATGGGTTAAATAAACGGATAGCCACTACCTCAATTGATGCTAAATGTTGTTGATGAACAGCCATAGACGAAAAAAGAGGCACCCGGTCGATAACCTTGAAGGCGTCTTCATTCACAGTATGCCCCGTATTTGCGAAATGTTCCACAATGGCACTTGAGATGGTTTTTCTGACCCCAGTAATCAACCAGACCAGTTTGTTTTCCTTGATTCTCTGGGAAAACTGACTGATGGTTCTACCTAAGTAGCTTGCCGAACATGTGGAAACGAATGTGTAGGTAATCATAGAGAAGGTAATAATAGACAATTTATCTTTGAGGTTCATGGAAATATCGGCTGATTGATGAACTGGAGGCGTGAACGTGCCGCGTGTGATTGCTTTTTGCAAGTGCCGGGTGAATAGATCAC